ACGCTGATTCTTTTTTTTCACAAGCTTATTCTAATATTTATAAGACAATGCTTAGAACCTAGATGAACCAAAGCAGTTTTTAAAAAGAAGATGGAGGATTTACATGATCTTACTTGAACACTTACAACCACAGGACAGTTGGATTGGTGAGAATATAAACAGACCCATGTAACAAAACAGAGAATCCAGAAATAACACAGCCAGGTGATTTTTGACAGATGCCAAAGCAATTCAATGGAGGAAAATAGAGTAGGATCCATTTTCAACAAATGGTTCCAGACAAGTGGCTATTCACATGGAATAAAAACTGGACCTACATTCAAATCATATGAAAAGATTAGAGAGGGATCATGAAGCTAAATGTGAAAACAGAGTCTATAAAGCTTCTAGAAGAAAATACAGGAGGATATCTTGGTGACTTGGTTAGGCGAAGACTTTTAGAAATGACACAGAAAGCACGAATTTAAAAAGAAAACCAATTCATAAATTAAACTTTATCAATACTAAAAACTTCTCATCAAAATATACTATTATGGTGGATATGAGACTATGCATTTGTCAAAATCCATAGAAGCATGTATCACAGAAAATAAAGTTTAACGTATGCAAAAAAAAATTAAACAGAATGTCAAGGATCGCAAGACGGAACAGATTGTGACCATCGACTGACTGTGTTACAAATGTAGGACAATCCCACACTGAAGGGGATGGGAACCAGGAACTGATCTCAGTGTCTCTGGAAAATGGTACTTGCCTGAGAGGTAAGATAAGAAGAACCACACATGAGCACTGTACTTGAGTTGGTAAATTTGTCTCTTGTGGGGGCAGAATGTGGGTGAACAATTCTGAAAGAGCTTTAATGTGCACACTGGGGCTGGGCTGGACACCTCATCTAAGGTGGATGGCAGGGGGCACCTGGGTGGTGCTCTCGGTTAAGCGACCAACTCCTGACTTTGGCTCAGGTCATGATCTCAGGGTCCCGGAATTCAGGCCTGTGCGTGGAGCCTGCTTGGGATTCTCTCTCTCCCTCCGCCCCCTCCCCCACTCTCTCAGGAAGGAAGAAAAGAAAAGGAAAAAAAAAGGGGGGGATGGTAGAGGGTGGGAGCCAGGTTCTCACAGGAAGGTTACAAATAAGCTGGGTACAGATACACACAGATAACTGACCCCAGATCATCTAGCCCTGCCCACCAGGAGGGCCCCAGGCAGTGACCCCAGCAGTAATGCACAGAACCAGTGCCCAGATCTGGGCTTCTACACACCGTCCTGCAATATAAGAAGCCAGGGTTCCCTGGAGAGTTGCCCCTGGAGCACCTGGTAGTGCCAGCAAGTAAGGAAGTGCCCCCAAAACAAACAAATGGAAGGGCTCCCCACCGCCAGTGGGAAATGATGCGGCAGACCAGCACAGTGCTGGATCCTACCCAAAGTGTACAACAAATGTCCCGGAGTCCCGGCTGACAGAAGGAAACAAGTGATAAGTCAACGAACGGGGAGACATAAATGCTCCCCACAGAAATCCAAATCATACGGTGGCTCCCCACCCCAACCTCCCTGGAGGGCAACTGTCTCACTGAGTGGCTCCCAAAGAAGACAAAAGGGACAGGGAGACACTTGGCAGACACCACCTGGACCAGGTGACCAGGTTAACGTGTCCTGAGCTGTCCTACAGATGCCAACTACCCACTAACAGGATACGACAAGAGGGCCACCTCACCTCTGGGGTGTTCTTTCCCAAACCCCAACCCCACTCTCAGCACCAGAAAGCACAGCAAACCCCAAATGAGGGACCCCACACCTGTGCAGTCCTCCCCAAAACTGTCGAGGTCATGAAAGAGTAAGAGAGACACCAGCACATCCCAGAGGGGACAGAGGGGCCGTGACACTCAGCATAGTGTGGGACCTAGAGAGGAACATTGGGGAACGGAGGGGAATCCGAAGGCTGGAGTGTGAGCAACAGGAACAGCCCCACTGATTCTTAGTTTTGACAAATGCACTGTGGTTACCTAAAGGTCGGTATAAGGGAGAACTGGCTGTCTTTGCCACTTTTCCGTAAATCTAGTATTATTCCAAAAATTTTTAAGTGAATTTTTAAAATATACCATTAGTAAAATGAATAGGCAAGTCAAAGAATGGGAGATAATATTTGCAATATGTATCTGACAAGCTGTGTACCCAGAAGATAAAAATGGCTTTTACAACTTGATCATTGTAAAAAAGGCCAAAGACTTGATCAGACATTTCAGAAAAGAGGTATGAATCATAATAAGCAGGTGGAAAAGTGCTCAGCATCACTAAGCTCAAGGAAATGCAAATTAAAGCCACCATGAAACATTGCTCTGTTTATGAGACCCATAGGGAGTGTCACTCCCAGGGATTTTCTTAAGAAAAAGGAAAGCAAACCCACAAAATGTGTACAAGAATGTCCATAACCTCCTCAGTCATACTAACCAAACCCCAAAAAACCACACCAAGTGCCATCACAGGGCAGATAAGCGCACTGTGGTGCAACCTAGGAGTGCCGACACTGCAACACCCAGGGTCTGGAGGAAAGACACCAAGGTGCTGGGAGATTCAAGGGATTCAGGAGTGGGCAGCCCTGGTGGCGCAGCGGTTTAGCGCCGCCTGCAGCCCAGGGCGTGATCCCTGGAGACCCTGGATCGAGTCCCATGTCAGGCTTTCTGTATGAAGCCTGCTTATGTCTCTGCCTCTCTCTGTCTCTATAAATAAATAAAGTCTTTAAAAAAAAAGAGAGATTCAGGAGTGCCTGGCACAGGCCCCTTTGAGCCTTGCAGGTGGTGCTCTCGCACTGTGCCACGGCCCTTCCCTAAGCCTGTGAGCAGATTTCTCTCTCTTCTCATTAAGGCACTAATCCCACCACACGGCTCACCCCCGACGAACCCATCGAACCCTAACCACTGCCCAAAGGCCCCACCTTCAAACACCAAAACACTGGGAGTTAGGGCCCCAGCATATGGATTTGGGGACACAACCATACAGCCCACAACACAGGGGACCCTTTCAGGGATGACAGAAATGTTTTCTATCACAATCAGTGTGCAGGTCACCCAGCTTTGTCAAAACTGGTCAAAGTGGACCTGTGCATTTCACTGCATGTGAATTACACCTCGATAACTAACTGAATAGATGTGATTCATTTTGAAAAATCGTAGTGGAGCCAAAAAGTTAAATGATTGGGTAAAAATATTTCTATGTGGTAATGAAAAATTTGGTGAAATTTTAAAGTGTACTATATGTTCTCTCACAACTCATTTGTCCTTAGGAGACTTGGTTTCAACGAAGAAATAAAGCCTCCAGGTTGCTGTGATTCCAAACTAGCAATGCATCAGGGTAAACTGGGTGGAATTATTTGTGGTCAGTCAGTAAGGGGTTAGTGCTGACAGGACAACTTTGTAAACAGGCACTGCAGCCAGAAGCCTGGCCTGGGTGACCACACAAATATCTGCTGCAGCTGTCCCCCAGCCTCCAAGGGCTGTGGCCAGACAGGAGGGGGGCGGATGGGTGGTCACCAGCTCCGGGGTCTGATGCACTGACAGCAGCCGACACAGGCCCACTGGACCTCCTCCCATCAGAGTAGGTACTGCTGGTTGTCTTCTCAGCAAGCAAAGGAAGCCAACATGGAATATGACTCTGAGGGAAAAATAAGAACTCACTTCTCCATCTGAAAATCCTATCTCATGCTGTAATGGAAAATACAGGCTGTGGTTGATCTGAATGGACATAAAGGAAACATTCCCATCTGCTGACACTATGGCAGATGCTAAGGGCAGCACGCAGGCGCCCACTGACCACCATTCTGTGAGGGGTGTGGACCCTCCCCCCGCCAAGGTTCCCCAGGGCTCTGCCTGCTGGAAAAGCACTCAAAGGCATTCTCAGCCTTGGGATGTGGAATTCTCAGAGCTATGGGGACTAGAGTCATTCTTCAAATGAGTCAGATGATAAATCACAGCATACTTTGGAGTACAAGAGTAAGGGAGGGGTTGGGAGGTGCCTCTGGGGTCCTGCCTGTGGACTAGCCCACTCAGGTGATCCCCAGCAGGACATCGGTTTGCTCTCCTTTGGGGAGAGCTTACTAGCGCAGGGGTGGGGTGTGCACATGCTAGGAAAACAAACTTCCTGATAATTCAGATTTTATTTCCTTCTAGGAACTTCTGCAAACAATGTAGCCATCATGATTCTGGCTGAACACAGTCCAGCGGCTCTTAGCTGGGAGTGGGAACCGGATGATCCAGGTGGGCTATTAAAGCTCCCCACCACCACCACCCCGCGCCTGGACCACCTGCACCGGCCCTTCCGGGGCTGCCCCGGGTTCAAAACCACGGGAAGACGAAGACCCAGCTCAGCCCTCTCCGTGTAGTGTAGTAATACTAAGAAAAACACAGAACAAAAAACTGGGCCAAGTTTGACACCTTCGAATTTAATAGGATGAAGCGGGTTAAGAATTGTCACAATAACAGTTTTTTGGGGGAGAAACTGCATTTACCAAAATGCTACTCCTTGAAATCCTTGAAAAGCCGTATCCAAGTGTATCCAAACGACCTAGTCTTAAATTATCCTTGAATTAACATATCAAATTGTTGTGGTGACTACACGCTCCCGGAAAACCGACGTTGCGGCTCAGCCTTGATTATTTCGCGGCCACAAACGGACGAAGAACCCAGCAGCCTCAAGGGACAGTGCCAGCCGAGAAAGGGCTCCACGGCGGCCTCCCACCCCGCCCCGGCTCCACGACTCCGGGGGCGGCGACCCTAAGTCCAGCTACCCACCGGCTCTCTTGGCGGACGGCACCTGCAGGAGGCTCGGAGCCCGAGGGGAGCCGGATCCCCGCGGACCTTTGTCCGGGTTCCTCGCCCCGCGCCGCGCCCAGACAGCGCGATCCCAGGGTCCGCACCCCAAGGCCACCCCCCGCCCCCGTCCCCGGTCCGCCCCGGGTCCGCCCCCGGCCCCTGCAGCCCGCGCGCCCCCACTCCCAGCCCCTCACTCACCCCGGCGCCCTTCGCGTTCCTCTTTCGTACCCCCCGCCCTCCAGGCGGCCGCGCCGCGCCCCCTGGGATTTGTAGTCTCTCTGCCGTCTCAACTCCGGTACCAGGCAGCGCGACTCCCCACCTCAAACTACAACTCCCGGCGATCACCTCGAGAGCTCCCTCTCTCCAGATGGGTTCCGGCACTGGGTTCTCGCGAGGTCGTGGGAGGCGCGCGCGGAGCAACCTAGGAAGTGTAGTCTAGGGCGCCTAGGTCCTCATAGTTGGGCCCCGGACCGAGCTGAGAAAGAGGGGAAGAACTACACTCCCCAAGAGTCCTCGCGCGCCGGCCATCTTTGGCGTTGCTAGGAGACCGGGAAGCCCGGGGAGGCTGGCCCGCAGGTGGCTGCGCGTCGTCCGCCGGAGTCTGTGCGGGGAATCAGCGGCGGCGCGGGGCCGGAGAGGACGTGCGGGGTCGCTGGGGCTTCGGCCAAAGTCTGCCTTAGCGGAGGCTACCTGGAGGAGAAGACCGCCAGTCTGCCCCCGAGGCGACGACGCTGAACAAACACTATTGGTTTTAGAGGATAGAAAGCTCCGGTCTGGTCTGAGGCTGGACGCGAGAACGGAGGACAGGAGTGACGTCACACAACCTAGGTCACGTGCCGGGTCCAGGCCAGGTGACGTCACCTCAGCCGCGGCCCAGCAGAGGCTCCTTCGGGGGAGTGAAGACGTTGTCCCCTGGGAGGCCTTCTGTAGCGGGCGCTCCGGGCGTCCCCGCGCCCTTGCAGACGCCCAAGTCCTGACCAGAAGCCAGCGCCGGGCCCAGGAAGGAATCTTTGTTCGGGCTGACAGGACCGGTTCTGCCGCTCGGAAGACCTCAGGCAGCCTCTCAAGGGGCGGGGGCGGGACCTATCCTACCTGCCGGCACCCGCCCCTCCCCCCGGGCTGACCACGCCCCCTAGCGTGTCCGGCTCGTTCAGACCCTCCTGATGCTGGGGTTGGTCCCCCGGGCGGCAACACACCGTCCAGGGCACGGGGGCGCCTCCAGGGGGTGTCGTGGCCAAGAAACAGGGCTGCAGGTGAGCAGAGACCTGGGGTCCCCATAGCCCGGCCCGCAAGACCCGGGTGTGACCTGGGGTTTCTCTGAGCCGGCGCGCTACCCCACAGCCCTGAGGACTCACGGATGGCGAGGGGGCTGTCCATGGGGTCTGTGTGGGTGATTGACCGGTACAGCATCCCAGAAGGATGACACCGAGGCCGCGAGGCTGGGGGCGTTTCCCCAAGTGTGTTCTCAGGCTCTGCTGCGGAGCTGCCCCAGGAAAAAAAGAACAGTTGTGAGCATCCTGCAGCACTCACAGGTTTTCCATTACTTAATGACTCTCATGTGTGCTAATAAAAGGGTTTGGAGCTTGTCAGCCTACCCCTCGGGGGCTTCTGTGGGTCACAGGCCTTGGCAGTCAGGTGGGCAGGCCAGTGTTCCAGGAAGACTGGGGAACAGGGCCGATGGAGCTGGCCGGGGAAGCTGCCGTAGGACGGTGGCCACAGGCTGTTCCCACTAGGCCCAGCGATGGGCTTCCACCTTTCTGTCCATTCTGGGCCTGATTGATTCCAAGCTGGGGGGCAAGATGAGGCCTAGAGAAGGCCTGAACCCTTCTAGCAGGAGCCCCCATCATTGCCAGTCCCCACAGGTGCTCCCAGGAGTGACAGGATAGAGCTCAGGGCTGACCATTTCTATCTGGCCCCGCCCCCTCAGCTCATCTCCTAAATTCAGCCCCTGCCACATCCACCTCCCAGCTTGAGCCTCCTCCCCAGCCTTCCTGGGCATCCCTTGGCGGCGGTCATGTCCTCCACGTGTCCTGTCATGGCCTAGACTTTGCTGTTCGAGTATCTCCTGTCCTCTCCCTCATTCAGGCATTCAGGGAGTTTTTCTCCCAATGTAGGGGCTGGGCTGCCCTAGACTGGTTTCCTCGTTGCCAAGCAACTGCCTGATGGTGCACACCTGCCCCCCCTCCAGTGCCACTCCTCTTGTGTAAGCAGGCAGAGAAAGCCCAGCAAGGCCTGTGAAGCTGTTGTCAGAGTGACGGCACCCAGGTAAATGTTCTGAAGGTCAGTGGCACCCTGTGGCCCAGAAAAGGCCAAGAGAGATGTTCTTGGGACATTCTAAGTAACCCCATGAGCTAGAATGGTGCCAAGAAGATGAAAGAATGCAAGATTTTATTAGGTTAAGTGCATAATATAAGGACATCTCTTAAGCCCATTAAGTTACAATTCCCTAGACTAAAACAAAAAATATATCTAGTTAACTATCTTAAGAGCCACAGAAACGCAAAATCTCATTCAGCAATTGTGTGTGGTATACTCCTGTAGGCCACAGGGAACAACACAACATAGGACATGGGCTGGTCCCCATAGAAACCCACAGTGGTCAGGGAGTGGATCCCACAGAAATCTCGAGGTCAGGGGCACCACCTTGGCCTGCTGGGCTGGCTGTGTCCCTGCATGGACACTTCTCTACCCTGCGGAGATTTCAAATTCAGTATGGGGAAGGTTGGGAGAGTCAAAAAGCCATACCCGAACATTTGTGGCATTCAAGTGGAATCAGGACACATTCTGTGTTTGTAAAGCAGAAGAGAACTCTTCCTATGAGAGGGTTAGTGTTGCCATTGAATCATTGTTCATAAGAGGAAACTTCTTAGACTTGGTATTGTAAAATGAAACCCAACTAACGTACAGTGTTGGAAAAGTTAAGAGACACTTTGGAATAATTTAAGACAACTTGGATGAATCTCATTGGCATTTGCTCGGTGAAAAAAATCCAGTCCAGTATGCTGTATGGTTCTGCTTACCTAATATTCCTGAAATGACCGAGTTATAGAGGTGGAGAGCTGACAGGGGTTAGGGGTGGCGGGGTTGACCAGAAGGGGAGCAGGATGGGCCTCTGGGAGTGGAGCAGGCTGCATCTTGATTGCAGGGTGCTCACAAGCGTCATACGTGACATAAAATAATAGAATAAACATACTGTGTGCCAGTGGCCCTCCCCAGTAGAGACTATTGCTGTGCCAGCTCCTCAGGAGCCTCCCTAGTGAAATCTGAAACTGGCCCCCATGTGGAGGGCAAGAGAGCCTGAAGAAAGGAGCAGGATGCTCCAGGCTGGGAGGTGGAGGGTCTGATAAACAGAGGAACTTATAGCTGAGGCTGATCTTGGGCAGCAGCAAGACGAGCAGATCCCCCCCACACCAGGTACCAGATTGCCAAAGTTTGTGCAGAGGCCTTACCTGGGCCCAGTCAAGCCCAGCCTACTAGCACTAGCATCTGAAATCCATGTTCCGGAGCCGCCTCTGGGAGCAGGGAGGCAAGTGGAAACTACATCTGGAATGGGGGTGAAGGAGGAGCCTCAAGGATATGGATTCTCTACAGTGACAGGCACCTCGTCTTTAGGAAGATCTTACTGGCTGGGAACCTGAGTAGCGGACACGTGGGACTCTGGAAGCTCTGCTCCTCCACCTTCCCTGCAGCTTGTCTCCCACCTCTGGGCTTTGGTTTCTGTCCTGTGTCCTGTCTTCACCCTCCTCATGCCCAGCTTTTTCCTATAACGTGGCTGTTTAGACAAAGGGGACCTGCAGCTCCTGAGAGAGGAAACCCTCTTTGAACTGCCAACGGAGCCCTTGACGAGCCACACTCTCTTGAGCCAGGATTGCCCCAGAGAAGCGTGAGCAAAACAGCCAGCTTCCCATCTGAGGCCTTCCTGAGGTTGCTTCAGGAAGGCAGGTTCCTGGGCCAGTCTAAGCTCCCTGCTCCTGCTCCTGGTGGATGGCATAAGGCCTGCTCCTCCCAGCGTCCCAGCTCCCTCGAGAGAGTGTTCTCTGCAGTGACCAGGAAGGTGGGAAGGTGCTCTAACCCTGGCACAGCTGTTGAGGGACATATGTGGATGTAAGCAGGCTCAGGACCCTCAGCACACCTGATGTCCCTGTCCACGCCCATCTGCAGGAACATCTGCACAGCACAGGGAGCAGGTGAAGGTTGTTAGCTCTTTCCAAACAGCCTAATGCTGGGGGAGGCTCAATTTTCAGCGAATTGATCGCCTGCAATTAGAAGGAGGCCTTAATTGCCATGTTTACAGCTCCAACCCGGTCCTCAACAGGCCCATTTCCCTAGGCTGTGGGGTGCATGGTGGACATCTGAGGCCCAGCAGGAAGCCCAGCTGGATGCCCCAGGCTTCCCTACCCCAGCCTTGCCTTTCAGCTGTGTAAGGGGAGGCCCTGCTGGGACATTCACTGCTCAGGGACCACCAGCAGGCCTGGCACCTGCAGCAGGAACCCAGCACACAGCCCCCCAGGACCCTAGGGCTACAAGGATGCAGTGTGAATACCTGGCACCTGGCAAAGCACAAAAAGCGGCCTTGAGTCAGCCACAAGGCTGAGTGGGGATGGGGCCTGGAGGATGCTGGCTTCATGGACACGGTGCCTGCCAGGCTGAGCCCTGGGTCCCAAATGCTCCTTGCTCACAGCTAGCTGAAAGCCAAAGAGCATTTCAACCTTTGCTGGAATGTCCTCAGAACTCCAAAGAACCAGCCTTACAGGGAAGCCAATACTCTTTGTTATTAGCAAATCTCTGTAGCACCTGTCCCACTTGGTGGACTATTGAGGTCACGCTACCTTCAGGGCTCGGCCACCCCCTAGCTGGGGCCTGGGCACGTTGCAGGAAATTGCCCTGGTGACCTCAATCCTGCAGGGCCACCTGCTGTGGGGCTGAAAGGGGACCCCTTCCTCCCTTTGGGCTGAGGTAGCTTTACCCTTGAGCAGTGGGATCCTGTGGCTTGCTCAGATCAGCCGCTTTCCCAGGGAGGCACGTTCTCAGGCCGGCCTGCAGGTGGCGCCCCTGTCTGATGGGCGGCCAGCCCGGACACTGGCCCAGGTGGTTCTGCTGTGCTGGCGACAATCCAGACCCTTTCTCAGGGAGGTGCTGGCTTCTCAGACCTGAATGTTGGTCCCGCCACACTGAAGCACGTCGGAGTGATCCTGAGGTTGGCGCTGAGACAGCCCCTTCCCAGCAGAGAGGACGGGAGCCTTCCTTAACCCTCTCACACTCCGTACCTCCAGGCAAATCATGGGACCCCCCAAGTTCCCCAAACCTTCGCCAGCACCTCAGAGGAGACCTGGCGAACTGGGGGCTATCACACCTCCCCCTGCACTGAGCACCTCTGCGCTCTCATTTTCTTTTTCTTTCCTTTTTTTTTTTTAATATTTATTCATGAGAAAGAAGCAGAGATATAAAGGGAGAAGCAGGCTCCTTGCAGGGAGCCCAATGCCGGTATATATACAAAGAAAGATCTGCCATAAAGAATTTGTGCCCAACTGTGGAGGCCGAGAAGTCCCGAGATCTGCACTTGTCAAGGTGGAGACCCAGAAAGCTGAAGTTTTAGCTCAGGCCAAGTGTAGAGAAGGAGAGGACAGACATCCCTGTTTGAAGGCCATCAGGTGGGAGAGATGGCCTCCTGGTGGGGGAAGGTTGGCCTTTGTGTTCTATTCAGCCTCTCCATGAATTAGATGGGCCCACCTTCACGGACAGGACTCTCCAATTCACACACTAATCTCATCCAAATCACCGTCACAGAAACACCTGGAATAATGTTTGACCACATAGCTGGGGCCCCTTGTGGCCCAGCCAAGGTGATACAAAATCAGCCCAGACACTGGTTTGCCTTGGAGACTCAGCCAAGTTCAAGATGCCGCAGTGATTTAAGTGAAAAACAGATGGAATGGCTACAGACATGGAGCTGTTCTTATGGAAATTAAGTTTAATGCTTGAAAAGACCACGTAAGGACATGTGGCAACATTTCTGTGGAACTAGGTGCTGTCAGACAATAGGTGTTCAGGACTGCAGCGTGCACATTGGTTCCTAGGGTCTCTGGAGAGAAGGCCTGTTCCCATGAGGGTAATGTGTGCTCATGCGTTTGTATGAATTAAGTTAAAGTACTCCCACTTTATATTCTGAACCAACCAGTCACCAGTTCACCAGTAAACACAAGCAAATCCATAAATGGGATGAATGGCTTCCAGGAAAAAACAAAACCAAAACTGAGTGGGCAATGATCCTGATTGGTGGCTGTTGCAACTCCAAGCACCTAAGGCTGGCCACCTGTGATCTGCCTAGGCATCCCACTGTGAGGCACCT